TTTGCATGCACTTTTGGACAATGACAGGCTGCTCTCCCGTTGGTCGAGGTGCCTGCCATAGCCACGAAAAGTTTTTTTTTTTTTTTTTTTTTTTTTTTTTTTTTCTGTGAAAACATTTGATGAGCCTGATACATGTCTGCGCCAAAGAGAATGCTGGTCCAGATGAGTCAGGGTGAACTGAATGCAAAAAGGTATTCCCGAAAAAAAGAAAAAAGAAAAAAAAAGGTACACCCATGAACTATTGATATACAGACCCGAGTTCGAGTCCAATCGGTTCTGACGGTTTTTTTTTGAGTATTTGCTGCGCGTTCATCCGTGAACGTGTTCAATCGGTTCGTGGTTAACGGGCTGTGCCCAGTCACGATCCTGCCACCTCACCGAGTCTAGATGGAACTGAATGGTTGAAAATTGAAAGTCTTGGATTACCTCGGGCAGGTTAAAAAAAAAAAAAAAAAAGGTCAGTTCCACGATGACATCTCAAAGCCATCGCCCTTTTTAAAAAAAGAAAAAGAGTAAGGGAAAAAAAAAGGTGGAGGGGGGGGAGGAACCAATATCTTTGGAGGCAGGGAATGTGAGAGTGCTCAAGGGAACCTTGGGAGGAGAGAGTTTTGGTGCCTTCACAGGAATGTGATGGATGCTCATTGGTGCGTCTGAACTGTACCACCTTTGCTCCGAGAGATCCACTCTCTGGTCCTTAGGGACATCCATTAAAATTGGAACAATACAGAGAATGAGGATTAGCATGCCCGCGGAGCAAGGATGACACGCATAAATCAAGAAATGGTCCATTTTTTTTTGCTTTTTCAAAGCAAAAAAGGAAGGGGGTTCAGAAACTTCAGATGGTTCGATAATAGTTTTCTAGCGACATTTCTATATTCTGAGACACTGTGAACTCAGGATTAGAGCCCATCTCCCATCCGATCGCATACAATTGGATGGCTGGAGAGTAACATCGTTTTCTTTCTAGTGTTATTTTCTGTCACTGTTTTCGTTTTATGCACTGTCCCACACTTGAAGTTGTTCTTTCTCCCTCGTCAACCTCTTTGTTCCCCTCCCTCTTCTCGCTTCGCGAATGGACAAACCGAAAAGCAGTGAGGTGTGCAATACATCTCCCTCCCCTCCCCCTGCCCCTCCTGACATGCATGTTTCCAATCATAAAACAGACATTGAAACGGTATTCACCAATTCGTGGTAGCTGAGGTAGATCCCAGGGCTCGATCCCTAGTTCCCCAACTTCCCTGTGTACAATACCTGCGTCAACTCGAAGAGTTGAACCTGCGACCTGTAGAATCGCCAGTGGGTAGGTCTGTCGTAGGTCTATAGGTAGCCAGGATTCGATCCGTAGACCTATAGACTAGAAGGCTAGCTGCAGTCCTTCTAGAAGGTTGGCAAGTGGTCAAGTGGTGCAGGCAAGTGGTCAAGTGGTGCAGGCAAGTGGTCAAGTGGTGCAGGCAAGTGGGCAAGTGGTGTGACTAAAGCAGGGTCGTCGTCATACAGTCAAGGGAGAGTCTAGAAAGTACCAGTCCGGTCCAGCAAGTACCACGGGGGGAACTGTGTGCACCATGGGCCAGGGACACAGGGCAGACCAATGCAGCACAGAAGTATAAATCAAGAGGCTACGTCCATTCATGCATTCATTCCTGCGGATGCCAGGCGGAAGCGCTGCCTTAGCAGCTTGTGCGAGGCGGTCTGCAGTGCGCCCGAAGACGAAGTGGGCAGAGAAGTGTAGTGTAGCGATAGGGTAGAGGCAGCTAACGCTGCCATAGCTGTAGCATAGTATGTGTGTGTGTTGTGTATGATACTGAGTGTTGCGTGTGGGACATCCAGGGTGATCCAGAGTGCGAACAGTGAGTTGTGTGGGCGCCCAGTCGCCATAGCCAGTTGAAGAGAACTCATATCTGGTTACGATATCTTGAGTACTGTGTGGGCGCATGTCGCCAGTTGCTGTACCGCTGTTTGCAGGCATGACAAAGTGACAAGAAGACGAGTTTGATTTCAACATCCACATGTGACCTCTAATTCGAATTTGAATTTGAGTTTGAATTCCAAGCCCATACTGTGCCGCCCGGCAGCCTGGGCACATCTGATATTGTCCTCGTGCGGTCCAAGCGCACAACCAATACTTGAGTCCGAGGGTGAAACAGGAGGTCCCTCGGGGCCGGGAGCAATGGAAATTCCCGACCTTGGAAACTTGGGTACAGTTGTAACTTGGGCAGACCAGGGGCGCCAGAACCGAAAGGAACACTCTTTCCGGGGCGAGGCAGATATACTGCACTTTTCCAGGGGTATAACTGATAACGGATATTTTCTCTAAATTAAATTGCCCATGCCTGCCACAACTGAATTCAAAGGGAACTGACAGCTCTCGACATACGTGATGCCAGGGAGATCAATGATGGGTTTTCGTTGGCGATCCGGGGCATGGCTCCTCTCTAGCTTTTCCCCCAATTGAAATAGAACATACCGTCATGATCGCTGTATCTAGACTGAAAAGGTTAACCCAAATACAACTATAACGACTGTATGTTCTATTCGCGGGAAGACGGTAGCCGCAGGACAGATCTAAATGTGTCTGTGTGGCTATGGTGTGGCTGGAGCGACACTGTCCTACCCTTGAAACTTTGTGAGGTCCTAAGCTCATGAAAAAAAAGGGAAATGATCACATCGAACGACTGAACAGAAAAAGGGTACCGGTCACAGCAAATGGCTGAGCAAGAGGAGGTCACCGGCAGTTAGGCAGGACTTTGACGACATCTGTGCAATCTGCGAAGCCGGAACCCCGGAGGATCTGCCTCACCGCCTGCTGCACTGCCCTAACGCACAAAGGCTATGGGCCGGCCGAATACAAACTTTATGGACCTCGGTCGCGGACACAACGCTGCCTCACAATCTGTGCTCACTCGCCTACCAGGCTCTTAGCATTTCCCCTCGGGGAGGGACTTTTTTTTTTTTGTTTTTTTTTTTGAAGGCCTCGCAAAACCACGGTTTCGAGAAGCGTGGCAAACTACCCTCTTCCAAAGGGATGCGTCCAGTAATTTAGTGTTGTGGGTAATATGGAAGACAAGATGCAAAGAGAGACGATCGATGGTCATAACAGGTCCACACAGGAGGCATGGGAGCACCTTACACAGCTCCTGCGGACAGAGTGCCAAGCTGACTGGCGCCGAGCAGTCAAGAGGATTAAAGACGATCCCACAAAGAAGCAAGATATCATAGGCAAATTCATGAACGACCGTCTCCGGACAGGCAAGTTGGAAAGCATAAAAGGCATCACCTCAGGACTCATATGCAAGCTAGAGGGAGATCAACAAGGAGGAACTCACATGGGGGCCTCAAGCTCACTTGGGCCGGTGCGATCGCAGGGTCACCGCAATGTGAAAACACAGCATGACTAGACAGGGCTCACGGGTTTAAGGCAAGAATCAGAGTACAAGACAGCAGAACAGGAATGAGTTTAAGCCTTTAAGGGTTTAAGACCACATGCAGGTAACGCGCCAGTAAGAAAAAAATAAAAAGTGGGCCACATCATAAGCGAAATTGGCTAATCAGCACCACTAGCACTACGGGGGCAGTTTTTTTTTTTTTTTTTTTTTTTTTTTCCCACTGGCTAATGCTTCCAGGATAACTCTGGGTCGAACCGTGAGAGGGCCCCGGCCTTGGTTTTCAACTATCAATGAAGTGATTCGGCTTTGTTTGAAAAAAAGAAGAAGAAGAAAAAAAAAGGTACGTGCATGGGGATACGGTGTGTCTAAGTGGAGTACAACAAACCACAGTAAAACATACGGTAAACACACTGTCAGCGTGACACTGCATGAAACAGCCCGGCACGGCACAAAATGGCACATCACATCACAGTTCAGTCACTTCAGTGCTGCAGTGTTCAGCAAATCATATGACCTGGCAGTATCGGATGATTTGCTGAAGTTAGAACAGAACACAGCACAACACAGGTGTGTGCAACCCAGTGTGACAGTCGTGACAGTCATATGATTTGCTGAACACAGTGCAACCCAGTGGCTGTCGTACTCGGCATACTCAGCTCCAGCCATCTCCAGCCATCTTGAAGAAGACGAAGCTTGAGAGAAACTGTGATTTTTTTTATTTTTTTTTTTTGGTGCTCTTATTTCTATATAGAAAAAGTACTTGTGGGTATAAAATTTCCCTGAATACTGCATAGTTGGCAAAAAGACAGAAATTACGTGGACTTCCCCCCCCCCCCCCCCC